TGTATCTAGACTCTGGCTGTCCTTGGACCATCTGAAAGCTCTGAGGAGCTTCTCTTCCACAGGCAGAGAGTAGAGAAGCAAGTGCGAGTGCAGGGAAGGATGGGCCTTGTCTTGAGGACTAGGGGGCTGATGTGAAAAACTGGAGGACCTCTGGACTTGCACGAGGGACATTTCAGCTGGCTTCCACCTTCTCCAGGAAACCTTCTCCAAGTCAGCTTCTGCCAACATGCATGAGAAGTGGGATGTGGGGTCTGCAAGGAACCTAACACCTCACCTCTTGTGGGTCCCTTGCTGTGCAGATGGAGTGGGAAGGACTCCGAGAAGACTATAGGAATATCTCAGAAGGCAAGCTGTTTCCATGACACCAAGCTGTTTCCCTTTCCCACCCTCACGGCTTGGATGGAACTCTTATGGCTTACTTTTCTCACTGATTCTCTCTCTTACCATTTGCTGCCTCCTCCCCCGCCCCCGAAACCCTGCTTAGCATTAAGCCTCTGCCTCTTGCCTCAGCCTGTGTGGTTTGCTCAACAGGTCCCAGGACTCTCTTCCTAGTGAGGTCTCAGGCCTTTTATTTGTTACTGTAGTCTCATCTTCCAAAAGGTGGGTACAGTATTGCCAGAGCCCCTAATTTTTACCATGGGGACAGAAGACTTAGATTCTGAATCAAATTTTGCTTGGGGTAACATAGGAGTAGATGGTACTTCTGCTTACATACCTCAGGGTTATTTCATTCATTCATTCATTCATTCATTCATTCATTCATTCATTCACTCATCTATCCATTTATTCATTTAAGAAGTGAGGATGAGCATCTTCTAAGTTTCAGGGGCGCAACTTGAACTAAGAGATGACAGTGTTCTTCTGTGTGAGCACAATGTGAGGATGAAGTTCCAGGACACTGTGGGAACTTAAGACAGAGGGCTCAAGTAGCTAGATAATGTTTTGGGGAGCTTAGCTACAAGGAAGGACCATCACCATCATCTCACTAAAACTCTGAGGCTCTCTTGCTTCCTGTGTGCACATCTACTTATCTGTCTGCCAAATGGAACTGAAGGAATATCCTGTTCTTACAGGAAGCCCTGAGTATGGGGGTTGAATGAGTGGATTGTCAAGCAGAACAATGTACTTTCTACAGGAAGTAGCCTATTCATTCATTCATTCATTCATTCATTCATTCATTCATTTTTGGTTGTGTTGGATTAATGCTGGGCAAATGCTTTATCTTCGAGCTATATCTATGTCAATGCAGTTGCCTTCAGCTAAAGTGTTCTCATGGCTCAGTATGGTGGGCGTATATTTCTCCTTTCCATCAAGTTTAAATCTTTACCACTAGTGTGTTCTTGCCTCGGGCCCATAAGTGTGGCTCTGAATGCCTTTCACCAGCCTGAAGGCCGAGTGTTCTGGATGTTCCAACACTCAGAGCACTAGATTTGTGTCTCTGACTCTGCCTGCCTTCTTTCTGGACTTTGCTTTTTGTGGGGCAGTTGGTGGATACCTTGGAAGGCATGTACAGGTTCTGCAAGGCTCCATGCCACTCCCAAATCTCCAAGAGTAACTGCAAAACCATGTTGGAATGTCGAAATGCTGTGATCCTAGAGAGCCAGGATATGGCAACCGGGCAATTAGACCAATAGGATGCTGGGGTCCAAGGATTGTGGGATGTCAGAATCGGATTTTATTCAGACTATAGCGTGCTAGAGTCACAGAAACAGATAACTCCAACTGTTGGAGTTGGAAATGGAAATGCCCTAGAAGTTACCTGCCCTCCCCCAACTCCAACCTGCTGGAGACTCATGCTTCCAACTCAGCTCCTCCAGTTCCTGAATCACACATTTTATTACTAAAAACAAGATGCAACAACATCCTGGGGTGGCCGAACAAATAAACATCCTGGGAAGATCTATTTCCCTAGAATGAAGGATAAAATTGTCATTTCCTCCTAGTGCCCAGTAAGGGCCCTCTCACTCATGAGATGCCCTGGGACTGAAAGGGATAAACTTAATTCTGTATGATTTGGTCCATCATGTATTTATACAAAATCTGTCAGGTGCTAGCAATTTTGAGACTGTAGGCCCTGTCTTGATATAGTTCACATGCACCGGAGGTCACAGAGCAGGGCATGTATGCAGGTAAAATCAGGGGGCAGCAGGGTACAGTGTTCATCTTTAAATCCTAGCTGTTGAGTGTTTCTAGAGAAACCACTTGCAACTCCATAGGGTTATGGGCCTTCATTTCCAGGAGAGACAGCAAGTATCTGGCAGGCACCTGCTGGAATCCTGGTCCCCAGCAGACATTATGGATCAGGCAGGGCTCTTCTTTGCTGGGTTCTGGTGTGTGTGTGCGTGCGTGCGTGCGTGCGTGCGTGCGTGCGTGCGTGCGTGTGTGTGTGTGTGTGTGTGTGTGTGTGTGTGTGTGTGCGCTTTTATTTTTCCCCAGCACCACACTCTAGGCACCTACTAGCAATCAACCACAAATTAACTTGAGATTTAGCTCGAGTTAAATCTACTCTAACTTCCTGTCCTGGTCAAGTTTGTGATCAGCTTCTTTTGGATTCCTGTCAAACACTTCCCCCTCTTTAAACCAAGAGCCCTTTGTCTTCCTTCTCAGCTTCACCTTCCAGCAGAAAGAGAAGGCCTAGTTAGAAGGCATGCTCATACACACTTTAGGTGAGGAGGTGTCCTCTTCTGCCCAGGGACCAACTCTTTCCCCTTGCTCCATTATTCCTTTCCTACCTCTTTCTATACCGGCGGCCTCAGCCATCTCACTTAGGTAATGAGGCTTTAAAAGTGCCACAAAAGTTGCCTTGAACTTGGCAGCACCTCTTCCCTCATTCCTTTTATTATGCCAAAGTACTTCTCATAGAAAAGCAATGTGGATGGGTGTGGGGTGAAACATGGTTACCAGTTTTTAGTGTTGCCAAGTAAGGACTTTGAGACCCTTTTCTGCATCTATCTTCACCTTTTTTTTTTCCCCCCAGGATGCTGGATTTGAAAAAGTGCTTGAGTGGATCATTGTGCCCTGTGGCTTGGGACATCACAAGACGGTTCATGTTTTGCTTCTTTAGGCTCTCAGCTTCCTCAGCTACAGGAGAGAGCTGGGGCTGAAAGACCATTGGTCTCTGGGTAACCTTAGACCTGAATCCTGGACCCTTTTTGGAGGGGCCTCCTGCTCTCTCACTGGCCTCCTGTAGTGACTGTGCTTTCTAGAGGATCCTTCAAGTCTGAGGAACCAGGGAACTAGGTGACTCCCGAGGCTGCTCTTTTGCAGTCAGTTAAGGCCATGGAGTACAGAATAACTGCTCAGAGGCAGCTGTGCAGTAAGAGAGGAGAGATGCTGGGCGAGGGGTGAGGGGTGTATGTGTGCAATTCTTTGTTCAGGTCCTCACAGCCACCTGGCTCACACCAGTCATCCTTCATATGTCCTGCAAAAGGGAGAGTGGTCCTCCAATCTCTATGTATTACTCTGTATTCTGTTCCTATAGGCTCCTCCAGGAGGCCCTTCTGAAATCCCACCTGTCTCCTTCACCTGTACCAGAATCCTAGACAGCCTGTAATCTGAGTTCAATCCCAAGCCAGCCCCTCCTGTCTAAGTGAGTAAACTGAGGTTATAAGGGGGGAGAAGACTTGCTGTAGGCCACAGTGGGCCATAGCAGAGACAGTGTGAGTCCAGAGCTCTTTGTGTGCAGCTTCTGTGGCTTTAATGAGCTGTCTTCAAAGGGCCTGCATCCATGACTGAGCTCCTCCCACCAACCTTGCCACAATGGAGGTTCAGAAGGGAGAAGAACAGCCTGGATAAATATATTCCTGGCTCTTGCCCTCGACATACTTGGAGCTGAATGTGTAGGGGAGACACAGACAGTAGATAGCCCCATTACAAAGTCAGGATGTCCAGAGAGGCCCTTGTGAATTGGACTGACTGCTTGGTGTGGAGGGTAAAGGCCACATAAAGAGAGGGCAGAGCAGCAGACTGATGAAGACACAAGATGCCATCTTGTTTGTTTGAGACAGGGTCTCACTACATAGCTCTGGCTGGCCTTGAACTGTCTAGGTAGACCAGTCTGGCCTCAGAGATCTGCCTGCCTCTATCTCCATAGTGCTTGGATTATGGGTGTACAACATCACACCCAGCTGTAATCTATCTTTTAATTCTCATAAAACACAGATGGATTCCCCAAATTCAAGTGACAAGGAGTAAATGGTTATTATAAATCACTGAGCAAAAGTTGACTAACAAAGAACTCAAATCCAATATCCTGGCCCCAATGCAGCCATTGCGGAGACAGCCACAGAGAAAGGCAGAAAAGGTGAGAGGGAGCAGAGGAAAAATAGAGAACCCAAGGAACCATGTGTAGACATCTTAAGTTCCCTTTGCAGGAGAAGAAAGATTCCCCAGAAACATTTGGTGCATGTCCCATGTTGCCATGGCGATGCTTAAGTTCATTATAATGGTGATGATGATGATTGTAGCTGCCATTCTGGATCCCCACTACACAACAGGTTATTTAAATAATGTCACATATCCTTACAACTACTCTACAACATGGAAACTTTTGATTCATCAAACATCTATTGCTATCCTTCCCATTAAGCAGAAGAGAAAATTGGAGCCTTGGCAAAGTACCAGCTAGGGTGACATGACACATGGCCTGATTGGAGTTGGAGTCAGAACTGTGTGCTGTCAAAGTCCATCTCCCTCACCCCTGAGGCCACAGGGCCCTTATTATTAGTCCTGGTTCTAAGTTGGGTGGGTCCAGGCTGGGTTGGGCACTGGAGGATTGTTTTGGGTTCTTACAAGTCCACCTGGCACTTGAAGAGGCTGTAAGAGTTACCATGGACTGGGCAGGGGCCGTTTCCCTTGCCAAGGAAGATGCTATGAGACAATACTTGGTCAGAAGCTGGGGAAGTGCTAGCCTCCTAGTTCTGCTACTGGCTACCGTGTGGCTTTCCTGCCCTCTTCTGGGCCTCAGCTTTTCCCTTGACAAGAGGAGGTTGGGGCCAAACCTGCTCCAAAGGCAAAGAAGCAGATCTTGTCCTGGTTCTCCTGCAGCAGCGCCATGACTCTCTTCCCCATGCGCTCATTCCTCTTGTAGATGAGCTCCTGGCGGAAGTAGCTGTCAATCTCCTGGGCTGTCACCTGCTCATGAGGTGGGAGGGTGGTGTTGATGAAATTGGGTAGCTGCAATGGTAAGAGAAGCCACCTTTAGGTCTTGATGGAGCAGGGCACATGTCAGATAAATGCACAGTCCAGGTAGGACTGGCAACTCACCTTTCTAAGGCCCTCTAGCAGGCTCTGTGTTTCCTGTTTCATCAACCCTCAAACCCTCAAAGATGAATATTGTTCTGGTTTTACATGTGAAGCAAGGGGGTGGGGGAAGATCCTGAGACGTGTCACAGCTAGGACAGTCACAGTCCAGCCACGTGCCCTGGTGGTAAGACTCCCACACAGGCCTGCCTGGTATTTCTCTAGAGGTTGGGACCATGCTGAGTTCCTTATATTCTTTCTTTAGTCCTAGCCAAGGAACCTAGTTCAGCAAGAGGGTGTAGATGACAGGTGTGACAAGAAGGCCAGAGAGCTTGGGGGTTAGGGAGACTTGGGCTTTGGCTTCAATTCTGATGCTGGGTATACTGAATAAGCTACTCCACTTTGCGGCGCTCTGCCTCTCATTTGTAGGGAGGACTAAGTGATGGGGGGGGTTACTAAATGAGATGATGGGTGCTGCTGTGGCCGCACTCTCCCTTCTGCTCCACAGAGGTAGGCAGGGCAGTACTTTTGGCTTTTCTCAGGTCTGAGCTGCTATCTGCCCACCTGGCTTCACACTTTTAGACCTTTGTCTTTTCTTGAGAACTATTCCAAGATCACGGATCCTTCCAGCCTGATGCTTGTGGGATAAGATGCCTAGGGCTTGTCCATCCTTAGAGTTCTGGGTCCTTTACCCTTACTCCTCTCCATGTCCAGCCTGAGGCCTTGAAACAACAGCTTTGCTGATTGCTTTGAACTAATCAGAAGGATCCCTGAATTCAAGGATGAAGTTATGTCGTTCCAAGTCCTCAGGGCCTGCTACAAGGAAGATGCCTAGTGGGGTTAAAACCTTGAACATAAGAAATCTGTCTGGATTTCTGAGTTCTTATCATTTCATCTGTCTGGCCTGGATGGTAGGCTCAGGCATTGTAGCACCATCTCCTCCAACATATGCATGGGGGTTGCTGCGGGAACTAAGGCAATGAATCAAAACACACTGTTTTTCCTCTCAGTCCACCCTTGGTCATAACATCTTCCAAGCTCTTGCTTATAGAACATTTTCCAGTTTTCATTGTCTTCTACCCAAGCATAAAGTAACATCCTAACTGAAAGATGAGGGGAGATTGTCCCTGAAGATGCCAACTTTCTAGAGATCTCAGAACTTCAGAAGAGCCAATTATTAGCCCAGTCACATAGCTTTTTAAATTATTTATTTATTTTACAGCCACTGTTGAGTTGTCAACATCCTTTCTGGAGAAGATGGGGGAGACTGAATCTGCCTCTGGTATGCTGGCCAAGGACCAGCGGGTGAATGGGTGGTAAGAGCCTGTACCATATGGCTCCTTCGTGAGAGAGGCCAGACTTACTGCTCTGGGATGAATATGGAAACAATGTGATTGTCTCATTGAGCAGTGCACAGTGTGTACAGTGTATGCACAGCCCTGCTCCTGCCTAGGCTGGTACAGAGCTGGCATCCAGAGACTTCATGTTTGGGAGAGAGACAAGTGAAGGAACTGCATTCTTTCCCTCCTCCACTCTGGAGGGGATGACTGGCAGCCCTGATGAACTAGGTCACACTTGACTTGATGCAGTTACAGAAGACGCTAAAGATTTGGAGTCAGGGTGGAGAACAGAGAGGCCATGACTAGAAGGGCTGTTTCTGGAAACACGTCTCTCAAAGGCCTCTCCCTGTTTATGGGGTATGGGAGAGGAAAGGAGGCCATGCTCTACTACACATAAGTGTTTGTTTAGTCAGTGAGCAAGGGGTTGGATGAGCAGGCTGAGTGGCAGTTGAGGAAGAGTGGTGATGAGCACAGGTCCTGCAGTCACACAGCCAGGGCAGCTTGGGTTGCCATCCCTATTTCATTGTCTGGTGCTCACTAGGTTATGGTCTCTCTGAGTCTCATGTTCCTCTCTTGTAACAGGGTGACATGCATGGCTTATTGCATGGATTCAATGAGACCAGCTTTGGAAGACGCTAGCGTAGTAAAAACACTGTGAAAATATTGAGTTATACACCTCACCTTGCATTGTCACCTTCCCATACGATGTCCCAGGTTACTAGAGAAGGGCGGCCTCTAGAGATGACAGATGGTCATTAGAACCACCAGAGAGATGTGAAGACAGAGGTCTGATTCCCTTCCTTCTCCCATGGGTTACTGGATCTGTGGGCACATGTTCTTCCTTCCTGCTATACTTTCTGGCCACAGGGCACACCCAAAAAAAGATTCCCCAGGGGACTGAAGGTATTTACAGGGACAAGGAAAAGAGTAAAATTTCAAAACCATGAAGAAGTTGGACATTCAGCTTATCCTGGGCTTCCTAGCCACTGGCTAACACTCTCTGTGTGTCTCATGCTGAGGGCCTTGGCCCCATGCCAAGGATGGGGCCTGGGTTTGGGCCAGGGCTCTGGGAGAAGCAAATTAATGATGTCATTAGACTTGTCTGGGGCCTTAAATCTCCCATGACAAGTTTAAGTGCAGGGCATATGATAACATTTTGAAGAGATCATGGAATGTCCCTAGAGCCTCAGAGAGACTGGTGTGTGATGGGGTGACAAGGAGATGGGCCAGGCAGGACTGCGATCAGGTCATGGAGGAGGGATTCAGTGTAGGCCAAGTGTCCGGGTCTGTTGATAATACTCAACCACCCACTTCCCTGTACCCACCTACCTAGTAGACAACCTTTGAGAACCTTCCTAGATCCTGCCCTGTGTCTGGCTAGGGATCACCCCCCCCCCCCCCCCCACCAAGGGGGGTTTTTTTGGCCTCTT